GGGCAGTCGTGAAACAACGACCAAACCGGGCGCACGAAAGTGCATAGATAGTAGTCGTGATAAGAAAATTCACCTGCCTTGGCCTGGGCAACCTGGCAGTACTCAGCTCACAAGCCAATCATGAAATATTTTTCTTTTTATAAAGATTATTGTACCATGATTTGTTTGGCACACACAGTCTGTCCTCAGACAAGTGTGAAATATAATAATAATATAATGAGAAGTGAAACCGTTACCTGATAACGTTAAGGTGTCCACATTGACATCATCAGTGCTTATCTATCAACGCAAGTGTACTTGTGGTAGAACTAACGATGAAGAACTGGAAAGGAACAAGAGCAAGGTGTGCTAGATGTTAAACGGATTAGTCATGAGGTGTGAAAAGACGAACTCCAGTTTGATTTACAACATTGTTAGACCCAAACGTGGCGACCTTCGATCTTAATTAGCTAACATACTAATCACAGTCGTCCTGTACTTCGACCTGTTGCAGATGTCTTTACACTTCACCTGAAATTTAATCAGCAGATATGATGTTGCCCTGTTCGGATGATTTTTCCCGTCTCTTAACTGCAAATATCCTCTTCAGACCAATCACCTGTTAGTACCGTATCTTGGTGTTTAGTGAACACTAGTGTGACTGCACTGCGGTACACACCATAGTTAGAGCATACCTCCTTCTGTGGTTCCGGCTATTTTCCCACAGAACCTCAAATGTGACTGTCAATTAACTCCATCCTACTACATCAAATCCCCATCCTTTTGCACAGGCGGATATGCTTGCTCTGGAACGTGAACTAGCCGCGGCTGATGACGAGGCTGAACATGAATTTGCTGCGGTGTTTGGCACCGAACCGGACGCGAATGGACTCATTCCCACTGGATTGTCCAGTATGGACACAATGGGTCAGTCCGGTGCGGCTACAACGGAAACACTGGAGGAACGTCGTTTGGAGAAACGGTCTAAAGTGTTGCTTCGCATGCTTCGTGCACATTTGCAACAACAGGGCTGGGATGATTCGCTATCGCTTCAGTCCATTTGTGCCGGAAATACGAAGAAACAGGTAGGTTTCTAACAGAAGTTGTATTTTGTCATTTCGGGGATAATGATGGGAGTCTACTGGAGATGTACGTCTGGAAACTGCCAAATACAGCATTCAGATTGCAACAGTAAAGTAGTCCACATTGTGGCAATTATTATTTCCCATAGTTGCTGATTGCATTGACACTAGCTTTCCCGCTCACCGTTCGTTATTCAATGAAACGCGGTTTCGTACTGTGTTTTGGGACCTTTGAAAGTCCCTTCCTGATTGTGACATGCCGTAAACCAAACGTTCCGCTAAACGGTTCCTTAACGTCGCCACATTATCAAACTCGGAGGATAGCTTTCAATCCGTATTTTGCTCACGCACGCACGCACCACCAGTCAGTCATCATTATCATTATTATCATCATCATCATCATCATCATTGTATAGTAGAATAGAGTGAAGGGAATTTCACTGGTTGGTTGGTACACTGTAACTATTCAATACACAGGGGAAATTTCTCACATAGATCCCACAGTGCCCCGAACGTTGCGGTCAGTAAAGCCATGGCTTGATGTAACATCACATCCGTTTACACCACAGTATTATGGGATTCTGTTCATGGGAGAAATGGATTCTGTTCAGTTGGCAAACTGTGACTTTGCCACGTATCTGTGCTTTTTCTCTACCGGGTAAGGGTTACAACCATTGATTCACATAATAAACTGCTTAGTGTAATCTATTGTATGTGATTTGCTATACTATGTACTAGTTTCACTTTTTACAACAATTAACAACGCAGTTTCATTCGGCACTTTTGGTTGCCGTTCTTCGGCCTGCCTATTTCTATTAATAAGTAGAGGAGTGATTGGAAGACTATGTCGGAGTGAAAATACAGAATCTTGATAGACTAGGGTTGCACCGAAAGTGAACAAATACACACGCGACACTCAACCATATCACTCAGTGTCTCTAAACATCAGATACGCCGATCCCTTGGTCGTTTTCAGACCCTCGTAGCAGGTCTGGATTTGACCACTCTTGACTTTATTCCACCCACTACTTGCCTCGGCGAACATCGCTCACCGTGGCAACCTACCTGGTGACATGCATAACACATGCCCCAACCATTCATTTATCCGGTTTCCCCACCAGATCCGTGCAATGCGGCGTGGACACAACAGTTTTCGAAAACCTACAATCTACCTTATTCTTGTTCTCCTAATGGCCCAGTACCTGCACCGTCCTAGCGATTTTTTGACGAGTAAACTTCTCTTTCCGCGTTTATTTGTTAAAATGACCACACAAAACCCAAGGATTGGTTGGTCAGAGGAATCCAGGAGGTACCCGGTCATATGGCTTTCTGTGATTGAGCATTATTCAGTCTTCATCTTTGGGGGTTTAAGAGTCCTCATGTATATTTCCGGCCGGGTCACGTCATGATGCAGCCTCGACCGGATGCTTCTAGTCCATCTATCTATACACTTCGGTGCATACACGAAATAGCCCATGCGCCTACAGCCCATTATCATTTGGGTATATACCTGGGGCATCGGTGTTGCCTAGGATTACTGCACTCATGCGCGTTTCGTTTCTGGTCGCATCAAAGTGCACAAATCATCATCATCAAGTGTACGATTACTGTCAAAGCCAAACGAATTTTGACGGTAAATTCTGTTGAGGTCATCCCAAAATAATTTTGCTTATTGTGAACAAACTGCATCCGTGATGATCTGTGTGAAGGGTTCACCAAATTGCACCTCATCGGCGATCTTCTCTTCACTTTCGAACGGATCTATACCAGGTGCCGGACCCCTACACAATTCATAGCTAGCTATTCATGGGAATATATCCATTCGCTATCGGATTTCAGTGTGTCGCATATTTCTCAGTATTCATGACGCAAAAAACGGCCCAGTTACAAGTCAGGTTAAGTTAAGCTTTATGTATCCAGCACATTCGACAAGTTACAGTGAGGAAAAAGTTATGCATTGAAAGAAGAATACTAAATGAAAAAACAAATAGATGTGAGCGATTATTCTTCAAATCGGTAATAAAATTTGCTCGGTTGACCAAGATACGAGTTAAATAAGGGATAATGCTGTTTTTATATGTGGCGGTGCGTGCACAAAGAATCTTAGGTTTGGAACGCGTGCTCGGATGATACACCGATGTGCTGCGATGGGCATGCAGGCAGTGTTCTTGATTTGACAACATATGGCTGATAAATATATCGCTAAAAGAAACATCGAAACATTTATCTACATTAAGCATTAAAGATCGGGGAGTCAAACAACTAAAACCGACTAAATCTTATTTAGACAGGGTCAGTCGAAGGACAATCGACCACCACGTCATCAGCATACTTGCATGCGATAAAGTTGCGAGGGATGAGAAGGCCCCTAATGTACGGTGAGCAAAGAAATGGAGATGAAATCGCACCCTGAAAAAACCCTGGACTTAAATTCTAGCAGGGAGGAAGATTTATCGGCACCATTCCGTCCTCTGAATGAAGGAATTGATTAGTATATTCAACAAGTTCTGTGCCAGACCACAATCCGAATGACAGATCTTAGCCTACAATCGAAATAAAACTGCGCGTGTGCACTGTTTTATTTTGATTCTAACAATGTGTGCGCGTCTGCTTGCATCTGTGAGAAGACTGGTCAACACGCGGACTAGGTGATCGCTAACTGTGCTGGTTTTTATTAAAAAGCAACAACAAACAGACATTTGATTACCGTTAATTAGAGTGTGGACCTGTAATACCCGATTGCCCAAGATCGTAGTGGTACATATACCATTAGGACAGTCAACTGCTCCGCAAATCATGATAATTTTTGGAGAGAACAGTGCTAGTGGCTTTAAGCATCTTTCTTTTACGGTGCTACAACCAGTTGGGTTGTGTGCCTTTTTCTAAACACTAAGTGTCTAATCTGACATTGTTATGTTGTGACAAGTTATAAACTATTTGCAGTTATCGTGCCGCAAATACCTCAGCACAAGGCTACGGTTGTTACCTGGGTAATGCACTCGAGCCACTTTAACGCTTTCTCGTGTCGGACACTCCAGTGATTCCGTGAATCTAATGTTCGTCATGCTCCACTTCATGGTTATAACCACCGAGACGTAAGCTATTCGCGATGGCGGCCAAGTGGTTATTTCACCAACTTGTGACATGTGGGTCTCGGGTTCGAACCGCTCCTCCGCCACCCATCTTCTCAGGCAGCCTTTGTATGGCTGCTGCCCCCCTTCCTGAATGTTGACTGTACATTGGATTATATTCAATAAATAACAAAAAAAGGAAGTAAAAAGACATTTAATTTTAATAAAAAAACTAGATTAATAATTCATCGCTAGGGTGGTAGTGGCGCAGTAGTTTAGTTGCTGCCGCCGGTGTGCTTTGAACCGTATGGTTCGAGCCCCCGCCACCGAACCTTGACAGTAGACATCTTTACTGTCGTCCGGTTCAATACCACACTTAACCTATTGGAGCCTTATGTGAATCGCCACTCCAAGTCCCAGGGCAAAAGTTACCGGTTTCCATCACTAAACAGCAGGTTTTCGTGACTATGTGATTCGCCCCGTTTGCTTTTTACCGCGCAAATGTGTGTAATAAAAAAACACTCGTAAAACTCTGATGTCTATCCGAGCAAAATTGCCCAATTCTCGAGTCACAAAGTTCTTTTTCCCCCCTCAGTAGTTGAATTTCTATCTCGTAATGGCTGAGTTCGGCTTTCATCATTGTTTATAAAAGCTTTTGAACGCATCTGAACACTGACTGAGAGTGGGATTTTGATCTTTCTCTGTCAGAAGCTGACACCAAGTCAAGTCTTTCTAAATCATGTTGTCCAGCTCATATGTTTCCCTACACGATATGGGACGAAAAATTCCTCAATCAGTCACTTACCGCTTAACATATTTCCCTCTTTTTGTGTTTCAGGCCGCTTCCAAATTCTACACCATTTTGCTGTTGCGTAAACAAAGAGCAGTTGAACTGCAACAAGAATCCGCCTATGCTGATATTCTCATCTCCAGGGGCCCGAATTTCAATCGACTTATCGAAGTCTGATTCCTCATATGCCTTGATATCCCCGCGCACCACAACTCCAGATTACTCTTGTTATTGTCTATTTCCATCGCCCTCCCCCCATCCAAGGACCCCACGTTACTTTTTATCCGATCACAATTTTGTCATGATCATCTCCTTCGTTTGTTTACTTTCTGTTCCGTTCCATTGAAGAGCCACCGGAACTCATACGGTTGAGTTTTCAACCCCCTTCCCCTGTGCACCTCCTCCTTGTCTCACTTACCGTCTGGACACCTGTTGTATGATATTTGCCTCTCTATCCCGTGTCGTCTGTATTCCCTCACATTCCCCTCTCTCTCACACACACGTGAGAGCATATCCATGTATAATGACTGATAAGTCCATTGTTACGCTCAAACCAAATTGTCTCTCATTACTTCCTATTTCTGAGGGAATTTATTGATGTCCATTTGTATAACTATTAAAATCACAATTGTGTATACGCGCGCGCGCACACACACACACACACTGTTTCGTCTAATTCTCAGTGGAAGGGGTCATCTTTATTCAAACGGGATCCGTTTTGTCAATCTGTTAAGTGGGGTACCTGTGATGATTTGTGACCAGCCTCGGTGGAGCCCTCCGCACCGCAAATTCATCGCGCACTGTGCATTCTCACGTAATTCTGGCACTTGAAGTCACTAGTTACGTTCGCCTGATATCCAACACCGTATGCACACGGCACAGTGCTGATCATATTTCACTCTCCAGAGTCCGGCCTGTATGCGAAGCAAATCACGGTGCAATAATTTTTTTTTTAAATTAGAACTAAGACGCTAGGTCTCTCAGGCGAAGACAAGTGTTTTCTTGGGCGATTCACAATCGGAGCTTTCGACTAACCAAAGCCTGACTAGCAATTCGGTGTATTTTAGCCAACAACACCAGGTGTAGTGCCAGGGGCGAACCGGTCTGATTAAAGCCTCGGCTGTTTGCTTTTCGTCCTCTTTGTTTAGTAAGAAAATACCATTTGAGTGCAGTGAGTAGGACTTGATCAGTAGAGATTGTTTGAGACACTTGGTCGTAAAAGAGCAATTCTCGAGGTGACCAGACACCACCCCCGATCATACCGAGGCTTCGATTGGTAGTTACTGTGAACTTGTTTACATGTGGTTGGCTGTTTTGGTGGTCAGATTGCCAGAATAACGCATCGCCTAGTCGTCCACTTCCTCCGACCAACTACAACATGGATCACATCAAGTTCTTATATGTGGAAGTTCGTGCAGCACAGAGAGTTGATACTTGGAGCGAGTTCGGGAATTCTACACGGTTTTCACGTTATATATATATATATATATATATATATATATATATATATA